GAGTGATTGGGGACACTGATTGCTGTCATGTAACATTTTTCATCCCAATGCTTACCTCTATCCACAATTAATCTCTTGGGCTCTGCAACCACTATTTGCCTTCACACTGACTCCTTTTTACTGGCAGCTCTAAGCTTAAATAGTGGCCATATGAGTAACAGAGCTTGTCGCAAGAGAGGAAAGCACACTAGACCTCTCCCATTTCCAGGGAAAGTGTTAAGGGGAGTGGTAGTAGTTCTACTACTATCTTTTTCAGTGAATATGAGCATGGGTTTGTGGAATGAGACCATTGGCTGTGGAACCCAAAATGCCTCTCCGTCTGTGTTTGCTGCTCTTTAGAGAGAAAACAAGATATGCCAGAATTGTTCATCTTGTTTGTCTCTCTGCCATTTTAAGGCAAAAGTGAAGAAACTGAGTGTCTCATAGATGCCAATAAACTGTTGATTCTCTCTCTGCCTGTCACGCAGAATGAGGCAGGACATTCTGTTACCCTGAGTTGCCAAATGAACATAACAAGGTGGCAATTAGCAGATGGCGGGGGCTTTCTCACTGTTTCCGGAGCTCCACTACTGTCAAAAAATTGCCTCATTAGACGCCCACTGACACCCCTGCTGGTGACATCTCTGCATTGCTTCCACTCTCATTTAGGAAAAGCATTGTCTATGCAAACCCATTGTAATTTAACTGCTGGTTTACTGGCTGCCTGGGTAAATATCTTTACTTCTAGTCAATTGCTTTGGCCCTGGTGAAGTGAGGGCATGCTGTTGCGCCAAGAAGTGAGAAGGGATTTAGCAATAGACTTGTCTTTTTGCTTTTGGCAGAATAGTTTTTGTGCCAAATTCATGCTGCACTGATAGTTTAACCTGAGTGCTATCTAGTGTGCATATTTAAGATGTCTATATTTCAATATTTCTCTTTACCACTAGGTTTACATTTAGGTTTTCTGGCTCATGACGTGAGCATCATTTTGAGCCATGCTAGCAGATGGCAATGTCAGTTGGTGAAATGGTCCACCATTTTATCCAGATTTAAATATCTCAACAACTTTTCAGTGGATCAAATTTGCTACAGACTTTTGTGGTCCCCTGAAGCTAAAGCCTACTGACTTTCATGATCCCCTGATTTTTCCTTTAGCACAACCATAATTTACATTTTTGTATTTATTTAGTAAAATATCTCAACAGATATTGGATAGATTCCTATGAAAGTAGCTACAGATATCCATGATCCCCAGTGAATGAAGCCTACTGACTTTTGTGATTTCATGAGTTTTCCTCTAGCACCTGTAGTGTAATACTACAGCAGTTCAAAGCATTCACTTATCCTGTGAAAAATCCATGGTTCCATGGTGCCCAGAGGTTCGCATTTATGGTTTTGAGTGAAATGTCTCGACACATTTTGATGGATTGACATGAAATTTGGTACTGACATCTATATACTTTGACTTTTCATCTAACATCACCTTTAAATTAAAACTTGCTAAGTGCTAATTATCAAATGTAAGCATGCTAACACGCTCAACCAAGATGGTGAACATGGTAAGCATGATACCTGCCAAACATCAACATGCTAGCATTGTCGTGAGCATGTAAGCATGTTAGCATACTGACATTTACATTTAGCTTTGCCCAAAGTACTTTGACTGTGTGCCTTCCAGCAAAAACAAAACAAAAAAAAAGAGTCAAAAATGGTGCTCTATGCTGCTAAGTCTGCTAAATAGTGGAAGGAATGAAGCTCTTGTCTGGTCTTTTGGCTGAAAAACAACTTGTGTATCAATGAAAGCGCTTCAGTAGTTTTGACATAAGTTACAGAAAATGACAGATGCTGAGGTGAGCTGAGAGTAGCACTTTCCCATGGCAGATACCAAAATCTAAGTGTCCTAGGGGACTTGGGAAAGGATGATGGGCAGCAGCATGTGCTATTTTTTCATTTCTGTGGATGCGTGTGTGATAGTGAGAGAGACAGACAGAAAGTGGGGGTTTTGTTATCCATAAATCCACGTGTTTTTTCAACACGTTTCAACTTAGATCTCCTAAAGAAAATGTAGATCTTTTATTATTGATCTAAGTAAGGCCTCCAGTCTCTTCTCCTCTCCAGCATATCCTCCCCCCTCATTTTACACATGTGTACATACTGAAAACTAATAGCAAATTTAGACAGAGCCAGAGCAAGGTTTTGTGTAAAATTTGCCTTTATCCATACTGATATAAGAGGCAGAAGACAGAGAGTGGCTGTGGTGGAGGCAGCGACAGGTAGATGCACACATCACTTGAAAGCAAAGGCTTGCTGTATGAGAGAAAACAAAAGGTTAAGTGGCTAGCAGCGGAAGAAAGAAAAAGGGGAGATGCAGGGAAGGCCAATAGCTATTCAGAAAGTGATCTCAAACATAGGTGTGAGGAGCCCTGTGGGGATCTGCCAGGGCTGATGAATCTCTACAGCGAGGGAAGCAAGACGCACAGTCCAAGATGAAGCGATAGAATAATGATAAAAGGGTGTGTGTTCCCATGCATCATCATTACTCCTCTCTGAAAACATCCCCCTCCACCTTGCCCATTCTCTCGCCCTCTGTTTATAATGATTTGCCAACCTTGAACTGCAGCCCCCCTTTTTCCCACCAGATCCTGACACTCCCCCTGTGTGAGAGAATGTCTAATAGTCAGATGACAAGGCACAAAGGCTTCCATTGTATCTCACATGCCTTGTACTACCAGCCTGGCAGGCCAGTGATGCGCTGCCTTGTAACCTAGCGGGAAGCTGAGAGTTGCCGCTCCCTCCCTTTCTCTCTTTCTCCCTCCATCTCTGGAGCACGCTAACACAACCTGACAGGCAGGCCACAAAGACTACCCTGTTAGAGGCACTTGAGTGGGAGTTTGCTTTGGTCAGGGGAGGTGATTTGCATGTGTTTGTGTGTGTGTGTGTGTGTGTATGAGAGAGAAAGAGGGAGACGGATTTTTTTGACCCAGTGGGGTATATACTCTTAGTTGCAGGAATCCTGTGGTATTAATTAATTCCATCCATTTTCCATACTGGAACCAGCTGATCTTTCAAGGCAGTGTGTGAAAAAGGATCGAGGGTGGCATTCCCAAGCGTGATGAAAGCCCCGGTGAAGGCAGAATCACTCCCATCCCCTTTAACATGGGAACAGGCCGGGTAGGGCAGGGAATGGGATGTGTGTTGTTTTTGTGTGTTTTGTGTGTTTTCATGTCTCATAGCTTCTGGGAACATGGACCGCAGGCTTGTGGCTTTCCAGTTGCAATGTGTAGCAGCTTTTGTTTCCTTGACCTAAATTCCTCACATTCATTGTGCCAGTAAAAAGTCTATAGAGTTACATAATGAAGAGCAATGCTTCTCTTGGCCCTGGCCTTCACTTGGACCTCTGGCATGCTGTAGTTACTGGACTGTTTCAAATTTAAGTAAAGCAGCGGGCACACTCAAAAGAATTCCAAAATCACTTGAATTATTTGCTCATGTGTGCCTGCAAAGCAAAAGAACTGCGTTGTGTTGAACTCCCAGTAAGCAAGAAACTCAAAACGCTCTTCATCAAAAATATTTTCAGTTCACAATACTTTACAATGTGGAAGGCTATATATTTTTATTTCCCAGCAGCCATCAATACTTTCTGCTAAAAATGGGTATTATAAAACTACTGTTCAAGTCTCAGAGTAGAACTCTTATAGAGTGTGGGATGCGTAGGATGCTCGTCACTTTAAATTTGTCATTACATTTACTGTGGGAATATTTGTCTTTGTTACTTCGCAGTATGATTATTTTTTATTCAGTTTGTTTCTGCCAAATTGTACTCATTTGAAAGAGGGAATCTGTTGCATCTGCATGGACATGGGTGTGTGTGTGTGTGTGTGTGTGTGCAAATATTGGTGAATAGATTTGAATGGAGCTGAAAAGATTTTGATATTGAAATCAAAATAAGTCTAGAATGACTTTTGAGTGTGCGAACTGATCAATGAAGTCGTGAAAATAAGAAGTGTCTGGCAAACTGTGATAAAATATTCATCAGCAGATTAACCAACAGCAGAATTTGTCTTACAATGGGAAGTCATACATTGACAATCTCTGTAGGTGTCTTGCTGGGAGAGGTGTATTATCTTAATGACTGATGTTTCTCACAGTGGCTTAACGCAGATCTCATTTGGATGACACTACACACAGCTTGATTTGTCAACATGTTCTGATCTGGACAAGATCTTAACATTTGCGTCAAGAAATCTGACAGGCATTGACAGCAAACAGAACCACATTCTGGCCTTGTAGAGCTGTGTTTGAGACCGCACAAAAGCGAAAAAGCAGATGTCGAAGGCACATTACAGGTGTTGTTGCAGTTGTGGTAACTGTCAGAACAACTGCAACATGATGTCTTGTGTAGATAGTGGACCCTAGCGCTCACTACCGCAGTCATCTTTATGAGGTTAAGTGTGTACCCCATGTTAGGAAGCTTTGGGGAGAAAGTGCTGGTTATTGATGTCCACAGTGTAACAGAAGCCATATTCAAAGCACACCCTGCGTGTCCCTTCCCAAGGAAGGAGCTCCTGCAGTCCACACAGAGGACAAGTGCTGCTATAGTGTGTCTCAGACACTCTGTCAGTCATACGAGAATGGTAAATTTTGCTCCTAAAAATGACTGTGCAGCCCCTACACTTCCTCAAACCTCTGACTGCTTAAAATGCTGTCATTCCCGTCCTAAATAAATGTATGCACCCAGACTTCAACAGTCCTAATGTGTAACTGATTTTTGTAATGCATGCATTTGGATTTTAATGAAAGAGCCCAGTTAACATCGTAACTTAAATATGCCTTCTTTGCCACTTAATGCCTAGCCTTCTCAGGTACAAGTAAACACTGTCTGGTCAAGGGCCATTTTTATTTGGGGCTTGAAGCATGTGTTGTTGTCCATCAGAGGACTATGGTGTAGCTTGCAATGATTTAAATAAAACTAAAGCACTGTTTTTTAATTGTCTCAAAATCATTGGGTGTTTTGTAAATGAGTGCCATGTAGATGTATGCTATGTGATTTAATTATTGGACTGACACAGATTTCTTTTTCCTTAACTCTAGGTAAGGTGTTGAATACTGATTTGCGTCACTACCTCAGCCTGCAGTTTCAGAAGGGCTCCCTGGACCATAAACTCCAGCAGGTGATCAGGGACAACCTGTACCTGCGCACCATTCCCTGTGAGTAACTTCCACAGACTACGACACCTAAGTCTCCTCTCTCTCTCTGTCTGGGCTATGCTTGTTGCCCTCTGACCCCTTCTGATGGCGTCTGGTCTGTTCTCATCTGTAACAATACCTGCACCATCCTACTTATTTTCTTGCCTGCATGTCCTATGTCTTTTAAAGTAGTAAAATCACACAGTTTTAGGCTTAATGGAAGTCTGATGTCCTAGGAAAACCTGAGTAGACTTTGATATGCAAGGCTAACATTTCCTACCATGAGTGAAATATGTTTTAAGACTTCAGGGCTTGTAGAAAAGCTTTATTGGAATAGAAAGGAATGACACACTTTCTCGTTTTTTTATGTTTCATTTAACAAAAACAAGGTTTGAGACTGAATATATGAAGTTTTGAATTAAGATTTTTCAGACCTTGGTTATCTTACAATTAAAGGCGTGCAGCTCTCTTTACTTCCTATATCAGTGTTTTTTCTTTATGAGTCCGCGCCACCGCTCCTTTCAAAATAGAAGAATAAATAACCACGACAAAACATTTTTGTTTTTATACCCGACTGATTTTAAAACGGCCAACAAGGCCATCAGGCGTAAATGAAAGAGCAGCTGCAATTCTCTGGGCTGAACAGCTGAGTAAAAAAAAAAAATTATCACAGCTCCAGACATCATTAATTATTTGTATCAGTTAGCATTTCAAAAGCTCTCATTTCTGACATTTTGCATGGAGGGAAAGTCATTTTAAAGGCATCTTTTGAAGTAGCATTTAAAGTACAATAAAGCTCTAATGATCAATTGAAGAAAATAACATTTTTCTATTTTCTCATTTTACAGAATGAATCTGCCCACAGATTTACTGTAGAAATATATAATATTATTTACAGTATAAAACACTAAATGAGACCTCAGTGCTCCTTAAAATGCAGACATATCTAAGTCTCTTGCATCTCAATTGTTGTGCTCAGTTTCCTCCTCATCTTAAAGACTATTACAGTTATTTAAGCACCGATCATAATTATAATTTATTTTTTCCTTAGTGGCTCAGCATATGTCCCGTGTCCACTCTGGTCATGCCAGCCTGTGCAGTGACCTTGCAAGGAGCCTAAATAAACCACTACAGCATGATGCCTATGCTCATCACAGCAGCCCAAATGGCATCTTAGAGTGAGAGAAACATGACTTCATTCTTCCTCTACACACAGTGAGGCTTTATCAAGTATTACACTTGCCTCCCTCAAAACATGACAGGAGTTGAAAACAGTGCCAGGGGTCCAGGACACCACGAAATCCTTGAAGCTGGGCTAACTCCACTGCCAACTACCTGTCTTTTTCTATGAATCCCTGGGCATTAATATATCTGCCATGACAATCAGCTCCACAAGTCTCTTGTCAGATGTAAAAAAAAAACAGAAAGGATAGTGGAACTGTAAAAAATGTGCCCCAGGTTTTCAATCTGTGCAATTTTATGGGAGAAGATTGAAGAGAGCTCCATATAAGTTATATGGCACTGAGACCAAAGACAGCATACAGCTTTGCATTGATGTAGCTCAGCTTGGAAACTTTATCCTACCATGGAGAAATCAAAAGTTTAAAGATCAATTAAAATATTGCTAAATCAAGTTTTTCCTTTTGCATTTCATATAAAGAATGTGTTTATCCACAGTGGCCTATAAATTACTGTATAAATACAGGCCAGAAAGCCTCAAGAAATAAATGGAGGCGTTACAAGGTCAAATGCAACAAGTGCTAGCCACTTGAGCCTGATTTCTTTTTCCTATTTCTCATTGCATCAATCTCATGCTCCTTTTCATTTAATAACATTTATCATTATATAGCAGAGCTTCATACCACACATATTGTGCATTCTGATATAATCTCTCTATGTTGTAGAAGAAATTATTAAATAATATTCATATTCGTGAGAATCAATCAGTATTAATTATTACATAGGATAAATACATGAAAAAGGTCCTGTACTAATGAATAGTAGCATTGCGACATTAACCTTAGCAAATATTAGCTAGTTTAGTAATGTTATTAGGCTATTCTGATTTGTCTTGTATTCATCAGACATTACCTCTACAGTACCTCTTGTTGTTGTAGAAATTTAAAGTTGGCACTGTTTGATCTGGTATCCGTTACTATAATTTTACACTAGTTTTTTCCTCTGTTTCTTTTTTATTTTCTATTGTTCAGATAAATTTAGCATCTGGAAGCCTTTTTGGTTTGTCACTTGGCTTCTGGTGCCCCACTGAGTGGGTGTTCAACCTGCATCACAAAATAGAGCTCACACATAATGCTGGTGAGGTAGATATTGTTATTAAACCACGATAACCCCTGTAGACCCAGTAACTACACAAAGATTTACACTTTTATTCTGTTTATGCAGTTGTTTCATATCTTCAAAGAGATGCTTGTGACGAACCACACACAAGATGGAGGTTAAAACAGTGTGCTTTTCTAGTGAGGCAGTAAATTTCCTCTTTCTTTTCCTCAAAAGCTCCTTATCCCAGCGCTCCTGCTCAGATAACAGTTTCAACAGTCTTAGCAGTCTCTCTTCACTGTCTATCCACGGCTGGGGTGTAATCATACTCTTCCCTCACAGCTGTCCAAGTGTTGTGACTGAAGAGATGCTTTGCTTTGTGAATTCACCAATTTGTAACACATCAGTGTAGAGTGCATCCAAAGCCTTCATTTCCCTATTTGCTTTATTAAACCTTAACCTTATTGTCTTTTAACATCACCTCTAGAAGTCATGTTTTACAGCAACACTTGAGATATCAGATTATAAAATTAAAATTAAAAAGGCACGTGATAGGTTTATGACAATTTAAATAGTAAGGGTGATAAAAGGTACTTGAGAATTTTCAGGTTAGGCAGCTGAATAAACAATACAAAGCTTAATAACCACATTTCTCTATCCTCTATTCCAAAACAAGCTCATATTTCCGCCTTTTGTGGCTTTGTTGGTCTCCCCTGATTGCTCTGTTTGACATAATAAAAGATTGCCTTTGCAGCAGACTAAGCTGTTTCAGATGTGATGGCTCATACTGCAGTCAGGATGGATGTTGACACAGAAAGAAAATGAAGAATGGGGCTAGGATCCTATTAAAGTCCGAGTTAAAATCCCTTGTGCCTGTAGCACAGCCAGATAGCAGAACAGTTCAGCTGAGGTACTGTTAAAGCCCTGATTACATCTAAGATGATGGTAAGATGAGTTGGCAAGTTAGGGAGCATAACGTAATTTTCTTTGTCTTACAGATGAGAGCGTCAACAAGGCAAAACATGACACTTCCTTTAACCAGTTGCAACAGTTATGGTAGATTATGATTTAATGACTAACTTTGCAGGAACTGGAATGCAGTGCAGATGTTCAGAGTGGCAGTGTGTTTTTGGTGAAGAAAGTAAAAATTATCATCATATTCCAACTGTTGCTTCAAGATCATTTCAGTCATAAAGCAACTGACCTTGACGATACCCACTGGCGTGAAAAAAGACAATACGTTGTAAAACATGTCAGTGAATTTTACTCCCATGACCTTGGAGAGTGTCGCCTTTTTATAAATCTTTCCCAATGTTTGAAACAGTTGGTAAAGCTGTAATCTTTAAGAAATGTATGCACCCAGATCTTCACTGTCAAAGTTCTTTTCAATAACATTGGTTTATTGGATGAGCTCACAAATTCATTCTTTGGTTTATTGGAAATCAGGATGTTCTGGAAAGGTCTGATACAAATACAAAATCTAAACAAGATTATTAAGTAGTGTTGTGCAGACAAGTCACCAATAAACCTTCTATGTTTAATCATTATATTCCATTATATTGCAGTGAAAACCAAGCTGCGCGTGGGATTGAGTAGAAATTATTTAATGAGTGCACGGCAGATCCAAAAGTCATGTAATTATTCAATAAATATGCAGAAGGTCAATGGTGGAGTTCCTTTTTTCCCCCCATTCATCTAGTTGATGCACACCTCCCTAATTCCATTCACTTATTTATTGCATTAACATAGGATTGAATTGCATCCTTATGGAATAGAGGTGATGTTATACACAGAAGTAAAAGAAAAAGTGCAATTAAAATCCTGCTCATTATCATTATCATCAGTTACACCTCCTCTGTATTCTGACAGCTGTGCTGCTCTGTAGAGGATATTTTTTTATCTGCTTCATATTTTAATAATGAATTCATAGTTTTTTTGTCCCAGCTCTGTTGACTATTCATGATGTAGACACAGATGCACCCCTGAGTGCTTTATTTGGACCCCACTACCACCACCACATTCCACTCGTTTGGATGTTCCTTCTATCTTAAACTGTGTCACTGTTGGCAGGCACCACTCGGCAGCCCAGAGAGGGGGAAGTTCCTGGAGTGGACTACAATTTCATCAGTGTGGCGGAATTTCGTGACCTGGAAGAAAGTGGGTTGCTGCTGGAGAGTGGCACCTATGATGGTATGTCTCAACACAACACACACTGCAACACTACATTACTTTATTTTTACGACTAGACCTATGCTGAACAGTATATTTTGTTGAGTTGTGTACTTACATTATTTCAATTCACAGCAGCCAACACAAGGTCTGCACAGACATGCAAACACTAAAAGTAGCAGTGCTACAGAAAATGAACAATGGTACTGATAATAATAGTAATATCAATGATAATAATTGTATGAACGGATGTGCAGGAACAGGAGGGCAGCAGGTGACTCGCAGCCACAGATCCAGACTTCACAGCTCCAAAGCCAGATACACCTGCAGAAATCGATAGGAGTAGAGAGGAGAGCAACAGGAAATCACAAAACTACTGGGAAAGGGAAGATGTCGAGTTAGTAACATGCATTAATGGGATAAGAATGCACAGAGATAGAGAGGGATAGGGGCAGAGAGGAGCTCAGTGCAACATTATCCCAAATGTTTCCAACAGTGTTCAAACCCAAGTCACCCAAGTGACTTTTGAAAACCTGATTATGATCATTATTAGTCGAGTCTGCAAATCAATGACATGTAATGAATAATGAGGGACAGGTAGGAAGAGGATGAAGAAGAAAAGTCTTATAATATTATGGGAGGATAGTTACTGTTTAATGAAGAACTGTCAAAATACATGGACAAGGACACAAACACATCACACCTCTTTTAACTATCTGTCACTCTCTGATGCCCCAGAAAAAACCCTGGTGTTGTGCATACATGTTACATAAATAGGCTTTATACACTGCTTCTACAGATAGCAGATAGATTTAACAGTAGTTTAGCCATTGAACTGATAAAATCAAATATCATTTCAGTCAGTTGTGTTGCCACATCACAATTGAACAACACCAGAGCTCACATTGACGTCCGACCATTGAAAGTACAGTACATCGTCCCAGGCTAACCTGGGGGCTGGGCTGCAGCTAAGGATGAAACCCCACATGATGCTGTGCACTGTTAGGTCATCAGGTGAAGTCAACACATTGCCTATGTCATCAACCTGTCACCATAAATATGAAGGAACTGGAGATAAAATATCCCCAGGTGATTTTGTTGCTGAAAAGAACTCCTGGTCCTTTACACACTGTATCGGACATGTGTTTGCTACGTAAGAGCTCTCTCGTCCACCCTCTGTCCCATATAGAGACTGGCTCTTCAATCCTGAATCTATGAACCAGTCAACAGGATGAATAATGGATCTTACCTTGAATACACAAGCCCTCAGAAAGTTAATTATTAATGCCCAGACTTATGACCTCTGAGTCGCCAGAGATAAACTGTTAGATAAACTTTTCACACACAAACACAGATCTATAGACAGATAGGCAGACACACTTGAAAGCAGGGAGGAAGAGATAATTACCACGTAATGAATGATTTCCCCATGGTGAGTTAGTCATTAACTACAGATCTGTTACTATTTGCTACAGCCCGTATAGTGTAGATTGTAAAATTAGCCTAAGGGCCCATTCACATAGAAATGTGTTGCCTCTGAGAAACATTTTAAAACTTTCACTAATGTTTATTTTCAGTTGTGTGAGTTATAGCATTGGGGTGGGGCAGGGGAGCAGCAGTGGAACATGAATTTGATCGAATTTTATTTGCATTGAACACACCTAATTTAAATTATATTCCATAATCTGCTTTTAGTGCAGCAATGTGCAGCTGTTGCAGTTTATTAATCACATTTAAATTAGATTTACAATAAAAAAAATTGTTGTGGGTAATATTCAAATGTTATCTCTTCTATTGTTTTTGTGTGTTTTTTTTCTTCCCTGCTGCCTTGCTACAATAATAATTTTCTTTTTGTGTAACAAAGCTGAACTTAACTTTGTGTGACATCCCATCTACTTTTTCATTGCAGCAAGTCATTATTCATTTGTCTCTCTCCCTCTTTTGACATGCCTAGCTTCCTCAGTACATGTTGCATTTCTCTGTCTGAATGAGGCCTTACTGTATCTATGGTTGATTGAATGGAAACATTGACCTAGGCAGGCATGATCACAGCTGTGACTAATCCTCCAGACCTGTGAACAAGGGCTTGACATATCCACGGTTAATCTATAACCAAGAGTGACAATCAGTCCCTCCGCTTTACTTGGACCAATATATATATAGCTTTTCCCAGATTGGTTGTCATATTGCTCACCAATGACATAAAATTTCAGAAGGCCAATATTATGAAAATACTTAACCGAGCATTAAAGAGGAAAATTGCGTGTGTTTATGAGATTACTCCTCAGCATTAATCCATCACATTTTCAACTCCCTCTGCATTCCAAGCAGGTTTTAGTAGCAAAGTGGATGGGAAAATCTGAACCACACAAAAAGAGAGAGAGATTAGTTTGCCAGTTTGTGTTTTACAGAATGATGGACATGTCAGGGTGTGAGTAATACGTGTTACCTTAGCTGTGTCGAGACTCTCAAGAATTAGATTTGCATGTGTGCAAGAGTGTGTACATCTGTGTGAATTAGGGCATATCCAATTTTCTACCCCTCACCGTGGACAGTACAGAAAAGCCAGTAATATGAATCATTCATATATACAGGGAGCAGAAATGGACCAGCAGAATTCAAGGAAAGCAGGTGTCTCTCTCTGCTGATACTCAAAGTTAACAACAGTAGGGTTGGTACAAAAGTTGATATTGCTAAAATTTGTTAAGTATCTATTCCATATACCAATATATCATGGGCTTTCTTTTCTAGTTGTCTAATGCAGGGTGGTTACAAATCAGCAGATTTTTCTTACCCTGGTGGTACCCTGGCTTTTAGTAGTGGAACTACATTAGGCTAGATACCTTTACTGGCTATGTTTGCATATTACACGACCAGCATGGGAAGCTTTACCATGATTACATGTTGAGGTTTAAGGTAGTAGCATGGGTCAGTGCAAGGATTCATTGGAAATATTAAATAGTACAGAACTGCACACCAGATAAAGCATAAAAGGCTGGGACAAAGAACATGTATGCACATGAGTTAAGAAATATTACAAGAGACTGAGGGCTTACCGTCATTATTGTAGCTGACTACATCCGTGATTGACATTAATAATGATAAAGTTCGCTCACTTGTGTAATATTGTATTTATATTGTTGGACAGTTTGCTTGAAATTGAGGATTCTAGAGCGTCTAGTAACATCAAGGCTGAACATACATTTCCAATAACTCCAGAGCATTGTAAAGCCCAAAAGTCAAAATATATTGAAAAAAGATAGATGTAATCATTTAAAAACATTGCATGTTTTTATCTCATAAAACATTTTGCGTTAACCCATCTATGTTAACATTTAGCCTTTGAAAAACATTTTTAACTGTAGTCACAAAACTGTTTGCTCTCTGGCTTGCCACACACAAGGAAGGCATGTACCTGTATTAACAGGACAGTCTAGCAGAAATCTAACAGCACCTTAAATTATATTTATTAAAGAAAGTTGATTTAATTATTCTATAAATCTTTAACACCTGCAAGGAAATGGCATAGTAATATGTTTCGTGCTGCCATGCTGATTTGATTAAGTTCTAAATGTCTAGTTGACCAATCAGATTGCAACAAACTACTTGCTGTGTACAGTAATGTAGACCAGACAGTGCTGTGGTACTTTGATTCTAGCTGACAGTTACAGTCTGTAGCTGTAGGCCTGCTAGGGGCCACTTTGACAGGGCATAAAGATGATGAAATCCCCTTTGTGCTTTACAAAATGTATTCCCCCTGACAATCAAGGACTTTACTAGAATTTAAATTGACCGTCGTCAGGGAAAATAATTCCTTCCCAAAGAATACGGAGTCAAATAGATGTTATGAATCGTTCTTTATGTAACGTGGCCACGGAGAGAACGCACGTTACTCTCTCAAACTCAGCATTTCCTCTCCTTAAGTACAGAACAAGTACAAAGAACAACAGCCAACAAATGGTAGATGAAGGAATACAAATGGCAGAGTATTAGCATACACTCAAAAACTCTTCCTGAGCTAAGAAAGGAAATGCAAATGTATGTGGCATCAGAGATGTTTCTCTGATTGGTCTATGTTATACTCTCACCTACATGCCAGCAGACATTTATTGTAAAAACAGCCTTTTATTAGGAAAAACCCTGTGACCAATGCTAATTTCTCACAAGTTAGTTACAGTGAAATCCTAAATCAGCAACTTATAATGTATTTCTCACACGTCCCCTTGTTTTGCTGGACAAAATTTCCGACAACAATTTTATAATAGGGTCTTTTTTGGTATTATAGGCTTTGTGAAGTTCTGAGGCAAAGCTGCATAGCTGTGGATTAGACAGAAACAGGGCAATGGGCCAGAAGTCACAGAGGAGGGAGGGTGCAAAGGTGCTGCGCTAACAACAGCTGAACACTCCTAGGAACTGGCAAAACAGAGGCTTCAAAGATTAAGAAGGACCTCATCTCTTAGGACTGCACTGCTGATAACATAAAAGTTGGATTAGTGAAGAAAACAAAAAAAAACGTTGAAAGTGTAAGCAGAACAAAACATGGAAGAGAGCGAGATTATGATGGATGCAAGCAGCTCAATAAGAAAAAATAAGGATGAAAGTAAAGAAAGGAAGGGTTGGTAATTTTATATTGGGTGTCACTATACAGACTAAGGGGATGAACATAAACTACAAAAGAGGTCTATTTATGCGACTCCGATCATCTAACAGTCGATTGTGAAACTACACACACACACACACGCGCGTGCGCACACACACACACACACACACACACACACACACACACACACAGTAGAGGAATGTAGGGTTGACAAGGTTGGCTTGCAAAGTGTGTGCATCCATGCCAAGCAGGGCCCGGGTCCTATGCCAAGGCTGGAGCACAAAATGGGCTTCACCCGCCTGGGGCACTGGCAGTCAGTGATGAGGCCTGGACAGACTGGGCACTGCCCAAGAGAGTGGAAGCCCATCCTCAATGATTAATGAGGGTCTGTGACTGTGGCTGGCAGGTTCAAAGAGGCAGACGGATAAACGCAGAGGGAAGTTGGGTTGGGTAAAGCTTTTTCGGGAGGCAAATTATAAACCCTTGAGAAGTATTCCACACTTCCACAAAAAACACATCACAATTGAACAATTGTGAACAATTGAAAACACAAAACTATTTGCTAGCATTTCACATTGCTGAATGACATGACCTGCTGCATGAATCTTTGCTATCTAGCATTTCCATCACAGCCTCTGATGAAAGTTATTTTGAAGTATATTATGAATTTCAGAGAGGTTATGGTTATCTAGCGCTGGTCAAACGCTGGTCACAGTTGTACTCACATTTTATTCAGATTCTGACGAGTTGGAGATGAGATATGCTGGCAGCTGCTGGCTAAAGTAGATGACGTGACATCTACACACATACTCACACACACAGACACACACACACTTTTATACGCATTCTTTCTCACCCATAAACACACATGGCCTTAGTACATGGGAAGCACATTTTTAAAAAATGTTCCCTTTGACGTGTAACCACTTCTGTGTCACATGAGTGAATAGCTGTGTAATTCACTGATGGTGCCAAGAAAGTGTTTGCCCAGCTGTTAATATGAAAATGGCATTACTTTACACTGTCCACCCACCACTATCACAAAGCTGCAAAAAGGACTTTAATGTAATAACATTATGCTGAAATTATCAGCCCTCTGTGCACACTGTTTCTGCTGCTGTTACTGTTACCAGAAGTGGTACAGTAGTTAATGTGGTAAAGAACAGTAGTAAATATACATTTTGTGTACAGTATAATTGCTTGAAATGCCCATGTAGCTAACATGTTTGCGAGTGGGCAACTTAACAGTACAGCATACTATAGAAACAGTCAGAAATGTGATCCATCATTAGGGTACCGCTTGCGATCTTTCTCGTTTTCTTGCTCATTGATAGATTTATAATAGAGCACAGCATGTTCATGTGTTGAATCAGTGCCCATATCAACAGGTGTTTTTTTCATGGGGAGCTGTTAGCATAGTGGCTCCCAGGCCTTCCCCCTCTTTTTTTTCCTAAGAATGAACAACCCATTAATCTAATGCAGTAATTAAGGTGGAATATTTGAGGTGGCCACTCTGACATCATCAGGGTTACCAAAGGGTGACCAGACATCCTATTCAAACTTATTTTTGGATTATTCCTGGCATCCCAATAGGGAAGTTCTTTGTCCTGATAATGAGACATTTGTTAATGAGACAGGATTATAGACAGGTTAGATCAGGGTTTTCTCACTCGCTTGCTCTCTTGAAGAGATCAGTCGTGAGGGAAAGTTTAGCAGCAGCCTACACGGCACTAGATGAGCTATTACGACAGCTATAACTACATTGGATTTAGAAGAACAACAAATGGCTCATTCTGAACAACAATTTTTTAGTAAACTAACTGGTACGTTTGTACATCTCTCAAGTAGGGTCTACCAGTGTTGCTACTAGAAAGTACTAAAATAAGTGAAGTGCCTATTTTTATTCTTTTTAATCTCCTTCTTTGTGTCTTCATTTTTGTTTTGTTTTTATGCCTGCCACATGTAAAGTAGTATCAAATCTCATATTCTTTAGTTGTTCATTTACTTGTTTATCTATTATTTATCTATTGGAATCACAAATATCCATCCGTGTGATCTGCTCAGTTTTTGCTGCCCATGTTCCAGCTGTTATCAATAATTAAATCTAATTGTTATTACTAAAGCTAGTTGAAATCTTTTGAAATGATAAAACCATAGACTGTATAAAACATAATATTCAGTTGTCACATCAAAAGAAAGACGGGAGACAGTTTTCTTTGTCACATTAGAATATTAATAGGATTGAGAATTCTAACTATATTAAATGGAACTGTGGTTAATTAATTACTACGGTATATTACAATAAGATTATACATTGCACTAAATAAAATGATAGAACTGACTGCCTGGGTAGCTCTGTACACAACATTCACTGGATATAAATGCTAATTAAACTGCATTAATTAAACTGCATTTGTTAAAATAACTTGAAGTAAAATGAATAGCCACATAAGATTCAAACAAACAGCTCATTTAATTAATTTAGCCCAAAGACCTGACTCCTCAAAGAGATATCTCATTAAATTCTTTAGGTAAAGTTAACAACACCCAGCCTCCAGTTCAGGTTCAGTTTTTCAGTTGTATAGTTTCACATCCACAACGGATGAAGTTATACATTCTCATCATTGACTGCTTTTCATACTGTGGCTTACAGTATAATTAAAACTTGATCTATCTCAGTGCACTTCCTTATTGTGGCCACTGTGTCCCAGCTCCTTGCTAATAGGTACTTACAGAGGGTATGTGCACCTCGAGGAGACCGAGGAGTTCATAAAGCAAATTACCACTTTTAATTTAACTCCCTCAACACGCGTTCCATCATTAAGCATCCTAATAATTACAAATCTAGTATAGGACTTAATAGTTTTCAAGGTACTGAAATTAATACTACATGAATTAAAACATGGATTAATGTGATTACCTTAATCAAGTATTATGTATGACTTTGTATTTAAATGCAAATCAATCTGTATCCTATCTTGTTTTGCCTTCCTATGGAAAACAATAGTTTAATACGGTTTTGAAGATATTTATTCAAATGAGAGAAATTAAACTGTAAGAAACAAGTTCATTTTGTTTGTGTGGAATCTTAACTTCCACAAATGTTTTGTCTGTAAGCAAGTGCTCTCTTTCTCTTACTCTCGCCTCCCATCCTTCCTCCTTTGTTCCCATTCTCGTTTCTCTCTCTTCCTCCCAGTAGACTCCTTCGTCACAGTATCTGTCCACTCCCAGATGTGCTGTTTAACTGTTACAATAAAATGTTCAGCCACTCAGACACATCTCACTCTTAACCATGCTACAATCTCACACAAACACTAGAGGACTGTGGTTTCCCATGGACAGAGAACAAACAGTGAATCAATATTTGTACCATACCCTCCCACCTATTTTCTCTCCTCTTCTGCTTTTAGGTTTTCGTCCTTTCTGTTATTCCTTATTCTCTTGCACAGAGAGAGAAGGTAGTCAGTGGTAAAGTGGGTCACCCCTCTCCAATAGTTGAGAAAGACTCGCTCTGTGGACTAAGGCTGTTTGCTGCATTAGGCATCAACATGACAGCAAAGGCAAGCTGATGGACTTAAAGGGGCAATTGAATGCATGAGAACCTACCTTGGCATAAATGCTGTAGTCACAGTTCCCTGGGGAATGAAGCAGTAAATATGACAACACAACAGTTTTTGGCTTTGGTCTGAGGGCTCTGGCTACTACAGTAGTGAATCATAAAACTAATAAATTAATAATATTTATGTTAAACATAAATAAAAGGGCATGTTTTGAAACACCTAGAAATACAGTAAAACAGTACATAAACAAGAGATTGAATGGGAGTCTGCTTTTTCGCAGACGGGATACCAGTGAGGGATCATGTCTCCATTACTTTACAAGCTCCTACTAGATGGTAGGGCGGCTAATCAGCAGGTTTGAGTCTGGATGAGCCTGTGGTACAGTGGGTAAATCTTACCTTACGGATCAACAGGGTGGGTCAGCAATGGTGGTACCCACTGGGAGTTAGTAAAGATGAATTTGCTTTAAGAATTGCGAGATAAAACACTTTCCTTTATCTCACAAACTGTTCCAAAAACTGTTCCCAAAACTTGAGTTATGTCAGAAAAAGCTTGGCCTCATTTGTTCCAACCAGTATGGCTCTGCCAGATATGATTAGTAGCTAATAATCAGACTCCCCTATGCCTCACATTAAAACAACTGCCACAGTTCCCACAATGGTGGAAAAATCCTCCAAGCAAGGATTCTAAAGCTGATGATACAGGGAGCAACTTTTAGAGCAATCGTGCAGGGCAACATTGCCGTCAATGGTAATGAGTAAAGATAACTACCGTAATCCCCTTCCCCCACCACTCCTCCACCCGCCCCGCACTGCCGCCATCCGTTCAAAACATAGTCGGACTAGCCACTAGCAAGACTGCCCAGCCACATTGCTCAAAAAGTTGCACCGTGTATCATCAGCTTAACAGTTTCCCAGTCTTTGCGTCAATGCGGGGCTGTTGTGGGGTTAGAATTAAGATTAGATTAGATTTTGGGTTAGCTAAGTGTAAGGGTTAAGGTTAGTTACTGTATGTAGTAATGGAGGATACAAGTTAGGATTGTGCAATAAATATAGTCAAAAAAGTCTCAGATTTGTTGCCTCTTTCTCCCTTTTCTTCAGGCAACTACTATGGGACCCCTAAGCCACCTGCAGAGCCCAGCCCTGTGCAGCCAGACTTGGTGGACCAGGTTCTGTTTGATGAGGAATTTGACACGGAGGTCCAGCGAAAACGCACAACCTCTGTCAGTAAGATGGACAGAAAGGACAGCGCTGCACCAGAGGAGGAAGAGGAAGAAGAGAGGCCTCCTATGGTCAACGGCCTGGGTGGTGAGAGGCATAATTATCTATTTATTTTACTGCTTCTGCAGTTCTTAGAGATAGTTTCTAAAGCACTTCTTTTCTCCAAATTTAAACCCCAGCAGTTTTTTGTTTGCTCGTTTTTTTGTCCAGCAGTTTATTATATTATTCTCCGAATGCAAAAAAGCAGGAACATTTTTGTTTTTCCCTTATCATTCTTTTCTCCAAACAAACATTCTCAGGATTAGCTGTTCTGCATGCAAGGTCAGCACTAAATCACAGCCCTGCAAAGTCAAGAAGTAGCCAAAGCCTGTCAGAGATCAATAGACACAATCCCTCAGTTAGAGGGATAGACTTTGTCCTTGTTTGATTCCCTCACAAGAGTGTCCTCACATGGCCCATGGCAAAAACAAAATCAGAACAAGTTTCAGCATATGGTGAATGGTCCCTCATTATGAAAGTACTTAGAAAATCTCTAACTTCTGTTATTATAAAACACTACAAAATAAAATAATCATGGTCAGAATTGTGTGCCAACATGTTATATAATAACCATCCATATGAAATATGTTTCACTCATAATACAAGTTACCCATCTTAAACCAGCCAACTGAAAAAGTAGCAGCTTGTGGCCCTGCTGTACCAGGCTCCCTCAGCTGTCCTGTTCTCTGTTATGGCTTCAAACACAGCCTCAAACACACCCTGTCCTAGTGTAGTATGATGGCACTCCCACTGCAAATTGTTACCCAAATAAGCCATGCTAATTTCTTCTCTGTCCTTTGACAAGTCTCACTGTGTAAAGGTGCTTTCCCCTTCCTCCTGTGAATGCTCGGCAGGGTTCATATAATACATACAAATAGATTTTTGTGAAGTTGAACTAGCTTTTATGTTACAGATGGGTCTTTGGGATCAGGGAATTTGACAGTATAATGACATTTCCTTGAGGACACACCTGAACTTAGTGCCTTCAGTATATACACTATATGCGTTAGTGACAGCAATAACATTGTAATGGCAAGAAAGTTCACACAACCCAAACCAGAAAAAACAATCTAAATGTCTTGCAGATACATGTCTTGTAGTCTATTTAGGCTGGTTTCAGTTATGAAAAAAATTACCAATCCATATTGTATAACAATGCCCATTTTGTTATTTGGTGTATTTTTCTGATACTTAAGAAAAGCCAATTACTGTGGTTCAATAGAGTGACCACTCTGTACTAATATTCAACAGGGAGAAATTAAAGTGTATGTCTTAACTAGTTCCACTTCACAAAAATCTATTTGTATGTATTGTATGAACCCTGCCAAGTATTCACAGGAGGAAGGGGAAAGCATCTTTACACAGTGAGACTTGTCAAAGGACAGAGATGAAATTAGTGAAAAAAAGCTCTGTGAGCGTGTAACTACTTATCTTACATACAAGAGAAAAAGAGAGAAACATTGTCAGACACATCGACTGTGGCCTTGGGCAGTAATGATGGCAGTGTGGAGCCCAGCCAAGAAAAAACACTCATCGTAGAAGGATGTCACTCCTAATTCTGTTATTCACGAGTATAATCTCGAAGGGAGTTTATTATACCTTTTGTCAGCATGTGGATGGATCGGATTGTTAAAGTGGTGAGGAGGTACAACAAAAGGGGTAGCAGCAGACACATTTCTATGCCCTGAAGGTAGTTTAATAATGGTCATGCATTACTGTTAACTGCCATTTTTCTTTTGTGTCCTAGCATTTTCGTCACTGAAGCCTACATGTCCTCATCAGCAACAGCCTCGTTTATATTTCTCTGCAAGGGCTGAAAGCTGCTATAGCCTAGAGCAAGTGTCTGTATGTGGTCATTTATTCCGACTTTATAAGTACAGAAACCCGTCTATGGTTCCATCATGAAAGAGAGGCCCCAATTTCAGCTTAAAAAGCTCTTGGCTTTTCCCAGTCAACAGCTGTCACTTTCCATCCCTGCCATTCAATTACCCCAGCTAAACAGACATGGGCATTCAATGCCACGATGAAGCTAGGTCATACACAGCCAGATGAAAACCTGCAGATAAGAGCCTCACACAGACTGGCACACACACACATTAAAGATTAGGCAAATACACATACACATGCAGCAGCCTGTGTGATACTAATAGAGTTGTGATGTGGCGCTCGCGGCTGGGCTGAGGCATTGGTCAGCTCCTGCCCTTGCCTTGGAGGCAGTTCCCTGTTCATTGCTGCTGACATGCAAATCCTATGGCAATTGCTGCGCTTCCGTCCTCTCTCTGTGTACTCTCTCTCTACCCCTTCCTCTCTTGTGGATGTAACCATCCACCCAGTGTACAGAGGAAGATCAGCTCGAGCGACAGCAGCAGCAGGGAGAGATGCAAGAAGCCCAAAGGAGATCCAATGGCGCCACACTCTCACCTCCTGTCTCTTTCTCCTTCTACCACCTCCCATACCCCTACTCCCAACCCATTCCTCTTTCTGTCTCCATGCCCATGTCCCTCTCCAAATGCCGGGCCACAGAGCACAAGGACAAGGCGGAGTGGAGGAAGACAGTGCCCAGCTACAGCCAGTCAGCCGGGTCTATGGACTTGCGTGCATGGAACACACAGGATGAAAGTCAGGAATCCTTGCCGAAAAACTGGGAGATGGCCTACACTGAGACCGGCATGGTGTATTTCATAGAGTAAGTAGCCTCTCTATTGCTACTTGCTGGCATTGTTTTCCCATTCTCCCCAGTTCATCTCTTTTACCGTCATTTAAAGCCAAATGTGTGAGATCTGGCAGGGAGTCCTTTCTACTTTACATTCAACGCATTCCTCTGTACTGTATCAAACTAGGTGTTGGACATGGAAGTTATCTGTAGGCACAGCAATGGCAGTTGTGTTTTCCTCGATTAAGTTTTTCTTTTATTTCCCCTGTGTGTGATGTCGGGTTTGTTGGCTAGTGCTAAAAGCAGTTGTTTACCTGGCCTGTTAGTGTGGCAAGCAGTCACAGAGCCAGGTGCTGATGCTCGCTGCTAAATCAATAGCTCATTCTCCCAGCCAGAGAAACAACAGGCCAAATGGAGCTCGCCACCCCAGACCTGTTCTCTCAGTTCTGCTCTTTATGATCTCTGCAGCTGCTCATTCTTTTTTGTGTAGTTTATGTATTCCTCATTTCCCTCTTTACTCTGTCCCATTCCCGCTCTCTCTCTCTTCCTTTACCTTAAAGGGTCCTCTGAGCTTTGTTAAAATTTGACTAATATTTTAAAACCTTCTTTAATAATCTGATCCCAAAAGATTAGAAGTTAGCCATACTTGCTGTTTTCTGGGAGCTGTGTGCTCTGTTTATTAGAGCTGGTGGAATAGCTTCTGGGCTAGTGGCTCCTGAGAGTTGCCAGCCATAATTACTGAATTGACACAATATCTTAAATGCTTTTGAAATTAATTTTACTGCACCTAAAGCCCTGTCTCCTTTTTGTACTTTAGTCACAACAGCAAGACCACTACCTGGTTGGACCCCCGCCTTGCCAAGAAGGCTAAGCCTCCTGAGAAATGCGAGGAAGGAGGTGAGACAATATCTGCAGATACTTGGTGTGGTAGTAACATTTTCATGGGCACTTAATCCCCTCAGTCCCACTCATATACTGTCCTCCCTGCCCAAACACAGTTATACTCCATCCCAACTCCCTGCTGCATAGTGCAGCGTGTCCATGAGCCACATCCCTGCCTCTCTGAAGAGGGCGCTGGCTAACAGACGGAGATTGAACAGCTGAGCACGCCTGGTCACAGTCATGCCGGTGACACAGCACAAACCTCCAGTCTCTAGTCTGCCCCTCTCCTCCTAATAGCTTCTGGGACACATGCAGGGAGCTCATCAGTGCAGCATCTCTCAAAAGGCAATTTTGTATGGCCCCTCTTGCGTAAAGATCTCCTCTGAGCCGCATGTGTTTTTCACACAGGAGCGTAAACTCAAGATGTTGCACACATACACGCAACTGGAAAGAAAGGCTATTACTTTCCAGGGAGGCCGTATAACAACTCAGTATTTCCTCCTTCTCCCCTGCCTCCTCCACAGTGTGTATTACGCCCTAAACACATAGTGACAAATAAATGCAGGCCTCTTGTTCTCTGTGTGTAGGTAAGCATGCTGTGAAGCTGCCAGTCAAAGATGCCTCATTGCATGTGTCCAATTGTCCATGTAGTGCCTCAGCAGTATCTGAAGTAATTTGCGTCTGCTTTCTCCCTGTCCGTTCTCCCTTCAGAGCTGCCCTACGGCTGGGAGAAGATTGTGGACCCCCAATATGGCACCTACTACGTAGAGTGAGTAAACTACTCCCTGTGCCTGACGGGACCCAGAGGGCTACAGCTGTGAATTGTGGTGGATTTAAAAGATATAGCTTACTGCATGCTCATATTCAATCTGTTTTTGTCTTTGCTGAAGTGAGAGTGAAAAGGCTCAACTCAGGGCTTCATGTATACCTGTGTGAGTCCTCTGGAGCTGTGTGTGCATGGTTGATACGCTTTTTTAAAAATTGTTATATGCGTTACTCTTTTCACATCTTCTGCAACTAAAAGCCATATTGCTGAATTCAAGAGGTATAGACATATTAAACGTGACATTGTTGAATCTCAGTTGAATACTGTATATGATAGTGGCATATGCTATTGTCCATACGGTGAGTTCCCACAGTGCTGCAGAAAGCAATTATGTCAGTACAGATAACACTGGTGGGTTCCAGCTTTGTGTGTGTGTGTGTGTATGTGAAAAAGAAAAGACAGTGAAGACAACAGACAATGAAAGTTTAGGGTCCCTGAGAGGGGAACAAGGGTTAGATTCCATTCTGATCAAGAGTGTAAACAAGAGCACAATGTTTCATTTTAGTGCCATTACTGTGGACAAAGAGGGTGAGACCTGCAGGCTGGGGAATTGGTGGTGGTGGGGGCGGGTTATGCAAGAGGGTCATTCAGAGGCTGCATCTCCTCTGTTTCTGTCTCTTTGTCTGGCAAACTTAGTTGTGAATGAACGACCAAATGCAACAACTTGACACAAAGTCTCATTATTTCCTCAACTGACAAACAAAAACATGAGGTGTGGCAATCAAGGAGTGAGAAAGTGAGACAGAGCGCAGCAGAGGAAATGAAAGAGTGGAAATGAAAGAGAGGGGAATGTTTATCTCTCCAGACTTAATGGGGAGGGTGTCTCTGTGCATGAGTCATACACAGCAAGAGCACAGAGTACTGTTGAACACACACACACACACACACATATATACCATCAGTGTCTCAGCATGGGGCTGATTCACTGTGCAGCATCAATGCATTTTGTCTTCCCAAGGTGCTGTCATGACCGGGATTTACAACTGTTAAAGCTCATTACGCAGATGAGCTACCTCTCTCCATTACCATCTAACCGTGGAGGGACATTCCCCTTCGAAGCAGGAAATGTTTCTGCACACAGGTGTGACCTGCAAATCATTAATGGTTTTTAGATTGTGTTTGGTGCAAATTCCCCATATTATAGCTGCACATCCTGGGTTTGCAAGCCTGTCTATTTTCAGAAAGGTTTAAAAAGGCCATCTATGGCCGTGAAAAAGGGGCGCATTGTCGTTTACATCTTTCTACAGTTTATTGAATCTTTTGATCCTGGGATTACAATGCATTGAGCAGATGTTGTTCCCATAATGGCAATGTGGGCTATCAAAGCAAAGATTGCTACTGATCCTCTCTATCCAATTCTCTTTGAATTCACTGGGCATTAAATTTTTTATTTCTTTTAAACTTGCTCTCAATCCATCTGTATGTGTTACGCTTTTGGCATAGACAAGTTTGGGTTTGTGGTTTACATTTTGTAGTAGAACAGCCTGCATGCTATGTGACATCTACTCAGCATTGGTTGTGTCACACCCAGGCCTCAAAGTCAAATCACAGGTTTGCATGACAGGCAAAGAACAGTATCAACAACAACGACAAGCTGTGTTCTGTGAGGCTAAAGGGTAAGGCCACAGACAAATACAAAAACAGAAACAGTAGTTAGCAATCAGACTGTGTGTAGCCAACTGACGCAGATAACTGAATGAATAAAATAGTAGGATGTGTTACAAGCAGAATGCCAACAACAACAGGATGGAAACACTTGTTCTACTATTTAAAGTTCTTGTTCATCTATGTTGTTATCTTCCTTGTGTAGCCACATCAACCAGAAGACCCAGTTTGAAAATCCAGTACTGGAAGCTAGGAGAAAGTTGAGTGTTGATATGCCCACTGCAGTCCCGCCGCCGTCAGCCACACCCTCAGGTAACTGCACCCACAACCAAGCCCTCTGGAGCATTATTTACAGCAGTTTAATGAGGAAACATCTGTAATTAAGTGGGATCACCACTGCTTATTTCATTGTATGTAAAAAAAATTTTTTTTTTAAAAAGTGGCAATGAGGAGAGACTAATAGAGATAAAATGTCAGTTCAGGAAATTCAATGTGATTCACTTCTCAGTTCTGCAATGTTAACATTAAATGTCATGGTTTAGATTGAGAGCCAGGAAGTTTTTTTCCCAGCTGGTCATCAGGGAAATTGACAGGAAGTGAGATCATTTGCATCTAAATTGCATCCTGGAATTTGAGAGAGAGAGAGAGAGAGAGAGAGAGAGAGAGAGAGAGAGAGAGAGAGAGAGAGAGAGAGAGAGAGAGAGAGAGAGAGAGAGAGAGAGAGAGAGAGAGAGAGAGAGAGAGAGAGAGAGAGAGAGAGAGAGAGAGAGAGACGCTTAGTGTTTTATTAATTTTATTTTTGATATATTTTTAATTTTTTAACAAACACACACGTGCTTACTGTTTTATTTATTTATTTTTTAATATATTTTTATTTTTTAACAAACACACGCTTACTGTTTTATTTATTTATTTTATTTTTCTCTTTTTAAACACAACACACATACACCTTGATTACTTTACGCTTTAATTGTTTAATGAAATGTATGGGGCTGATTGTTCTTATGTTGTGTATATATGATGCTTTGGCAATGTTGTTATTACATTCATGCCATTAAAGCTAATTTGATTAAAGAGAGAGAGAGCGCAAACTAACACATGATACTAATCTTTAAAAGAGAAATTAATATTTACATTTTATACTATATATTTCTAAGAAATGTACATTGTACATCACTTTGGTCCAGACCGAAAAATCTCAGGAACAGATGGATTGACATGAAACTGTGTACAGACATTTATTGTCCCCAGAGGATGAACGCTACTGACTTTGGTGTCTTTTCCTCTAGTGCCACCATGAGGTTAATATTTGTGGTTTTTAGTGAAACAACTATTGGATAGATTGCCATGAAGTTTCAGACCTTAATGTCTCCATTCAAGATGATATTGTGATAACTGGCAAATATTAGTATACTAACACACAAAAACAAATGGCAAAACTGGCAAACATACCTGCTAAATATCAGCATGTTCACATTGTTCTTGTGAGGATGTTATGGGGACGATAGCGCTTAGCTCAATGCTCCACTGTGCATAATTACAGCCTCAGAGTCTCTTGCATGGCTGTAGACTCTTGGTCTCGTTAGATCTTTTGCTAATATGTCACTAAAATGGCATTCAGTACCGATCAGAGTAAATGCTAGAAGATTTATAGGTTAGGAGGAGGATTTTGTAGGTGATGTGGTACTTGACCAGGAGGCAGTGAAGGTGAGAAAGGATTGAAGTGATGTGCTGGACTTTGCTAGGTGCCCCGACACCAGTGCAGAAGTCCAAGCGGGAGGTAATGAAGGCATGTATCGGTGACTCTGCCCCAAAGTCCGTGAGTGAAGGCCAGAGTCTTGAGGTGTTCTTGAGGTGGTAGAAGGCAGATTTGATACCCAGGTTGTGGACCCCTGGGAATGGGGAGATGGAGCAGTCATCTACATTGAGGAGGAGATATCCAACCCTTTGGAGCAATGGCTTGGGAGATACTGCCATTAGCTCTGTTTTGCCGCTGTTGAATTTGAGTAAATGAGATGAGATCCAATTTTATTTCATTCAGGCAGTTAACAAGTGACAGAGAATAGAGCTGAGTGGATGGTTTGGTGCTAAGATACAGCTGCGTATCATCAGCATAACAGTGGAAACTGAGACCATGGTGGCGGTTAATCTTGCATCTTTTTGTACACTGAAGAAAAACCTCTATAAGTAGGTATTAGATATGTTATCCAAATACTGGAGCACTTCTATCGTCTCCTTCATGCTGAGATGTCTGTCTGAAAGATGTTCTAATAGTTGACAGGCTGCTGATAAACAGCCCATTGCCTCTGAAGCAATGATATTCAATTTGTAATGGAGCAGCGCTGCACTGTGCGGGAGAATTCATTTTGACAAGTAGATTATGAAATGGGGGGGGGCTCTGAGGTCTCTTTGAAAATGTGTTTCCCCAGTAATGCACCACAGTTCAAGATCTCTTTAGAACATAAGAAGGGAGGGAGAGACAGAGAAGGAGAAATAGGTGACTGTGTTTGAAAGTGACTTATGATCATAAATTGCATTTCTACTTGGTCATC